GCGTAAATCTCTCTTTGCTATGTATCTTTCTTTCTATCTGTCTGTCTGTCCTCCACCTGTCTAGCTGTCCACTACCAGAACGTTATCTTTTACCGTCCTTCTTCCTAGCAACTAGCGAAGCCGTTAAATTCTATTTGAAACTAGATTTCAAATTCATTAATATGAGTCCATTTTTGTGGACTTAAAAACGTTCCTTCTTTACAAAATATCTGTGAAAGCACCTCAACCCACTCATCACCCCCATTGCTTTCCCTTCTCTGTCTCTTTTTGTCACTCTGTACATCTCAATCTCTACTTTCTCTTCCTCTCTCTCTCTCTCTCTCTCTCTCTCTCTCTCTCTCTCTCTCTCTCACACACGCACATGCTCACACACTCTCACTCACACACACACACACACACAAACACACACATACATGTTCACACACACACACACACACAAACACTCACACACACACACACACCACATACACACACATATATATATACTGGTATATATATTTCCTGGAAAAATGTTGCAGTTGGTTTTTATAAATTAGTAACTGTCTTGACATTTAAACAGTTACCGTATCTTAAAAGATGTCTAGAAGAATGACGCAACATTCTATTTTATTTCAGAGGTGAACAAATTCCTTGGATCCACCCTTAAGTCGGAGAGTTTGAGCAAAAATGGCCAGAAAGAAAAATCAAGAATCACAGAAGTTTTGCAGAAACTGTTTGCCGACTACCCAGGTTTAGCGCCAGCGACTGGAGATGAAGGCAGCGCTTCCAGTGGAAAGGACCTTTCTATAGGTAAAGTTTTTGAAAATAAGATAAAAGATTGTTGCTTTTATGGACCTTTTCCGGTTTTCCGTGGGACAGACCTGGTAATATAGTCTATTAATCTCCCATTGGAAGAAATGCCAGACTCATATCAATATAATTTATGAAGTATACACATGGCATATATATATATGTATCTGTATAACAAGAAATGAAATAATGAAAGTGATCAAATCTTCTAATAGCAAAAATTACAAGGTTTGTATTTCTGTATGCAGGTATAGACTATTTCCTCTTGCGCTCTCATCAGCTTTTTTTGTCTTCAACAAAGTACCATCGTTTCTCTAGTCCTGGTCCTTCTGTCTGCGATGTTTGTGTCTCACTAACCATGTAGCAGGAGACTCTTTACTATAATACGTATACATTTGTACTTACATTTCCTGCATTTTACAGATGTCCTTTCATTGTGTTTCAGTATTGGTAGAGATTTTGAAGAAATGTTATTTGTCGGATTTTTTTTCCTTTCAGATGAGTCTCGGAATACGACAGGGAGCAGTCAGGGCAGCGAAGAAGACAACTATTCTGACAGTGGGTGCTTCCTTCTTTATCTCTCTCTCTCTCTCTCCCTCTCTCTCTCTCTCTCTCTCTCTCTCTCTCTGTCTCTCTCTCTCTCTCTCTCTCACTCTCTAACTTACACACTCTCTTTCTCTCACATACTCTATCTCCCTCTTTATCTCTCTCTCTCTCTCTCTCTCTCTCTCAAACCATCATGTCATA